TACGCTGAAAAATAAATACTCAAGTAAAGTACTGATAACAAAAATTTCTACTTAAGTAGAGTAACAAAGTATTTGTACTTAGTTACTTTACAACTCTGTCGCTAAGTTCTGATTTAAAACCCACGAACACGATTAAAGTCACTGTCAGGCGTGCTGGCACCTTTGGCTAAAAGGAAACAAGGATGCTACAAAATATTTATATTTCTGTCCGTGTCGACGTTTTCCTGCCTGTTTTAAGTCACACATGAGGGTCTTCTTCTTCCAGCCTCTAACTGCTCTGACATCATTGTCCTCAGCCCTTGAGAAACCCCCCGGGCCAGATTCCCCAGACTACGTGGAGATCGCCATCTACTGCGTCGGCGTCTTCATCATCGCCTGCATGGTGGGCACGGCGGTGGTGTGCCGCATGAGGAACACCACGAAGAAGCCCGACTTCGGTGGCCAGCCGGCGGTCCACAAACTGACCAAACAGATCCCCCTGCGCCGCCAGGTAACAGAAAGTAGATAAAGAGTTCCAAAGGCATCTAACACGCACAGAGGAGAAAACAACACATCAAACAACTCACCTTTGCTTTTGTAAACTTTATATTTCCCATAAACCTTCTATTATTGAACCAGCTTGATAAACATTTCCAAATCTTTGGTGCAAAATGGGAATAAAACCAAAACAAGTCTCATAAACCCATATTTTATTCACACTGAAGCTTGATAAACATATCAGAAAGTCTAAACCTGGACTTCTTTGCATTTTTTTTGCATTATTTTCGAAAAAAACACATCATACATTAAGAATAAAACTGTTTTGTCTGAGATAATTCTTCACGTTTCTAAACCCTAAACCTACATAGAGAGATTTTTATTGTTTCCCCCCAAATGTGAGACTTTCTTCTGCCTGAAGGGAGACCAGAAATGTTCAGAAAGTGTCGGATTGCGATCTGCAGAGCGACTGATTACCGTGTCAAGGTAAGGTCAGGGTGGAGACAGCAGAGATGAGCCCCGGGGACAGGAGCGAAGGCCAGCACTTATTACAAACTCACAGAAATTACTACGGTTGCTCACTTCATAATAATAGATGAAATGTCAGCTGTGACCCGGGGACACGCTGTGCTGTTGTTAAAATAATAAGTGCGGTAATTAGGCACATTCTGTTCAGACTCCGGTGCAGAACCGGTTGAGTTTCTAAGATTTCAAACGTAAACTCTCCTCTGGACGATGCCTCGGAGCTTCAACTGGACTCAGACCGCGGTGATCAGCCAAGCCTCCTTTGTCCCGCAGGTGTCGGCGGACTCCAGCTCGTCCATGAACTCCAACACGCCCCTGGTGCGCATCACCACGCGGCGGAGCTCCGCCACCGACGTGCCCATACCGGAGTACGACCTGCCGGAGGACCCGCGGTGGGAGTTCCCCAGAGACATGTGAGTGCCGCTCGTTTCGTACCTTCGGCTCGCTGGTGTTTTTATGAGAAGTTCGGTGTTTATTGACCAAAGTTCTAAAGATTTAATTATGTAGTACTTGCAACATGACAGTTATTAAAGTATATTGATTAGGATGAACAGAAATACTGGTTTTTGATTGTTTATTACATAATGCACCAGATTATTACACAACCACATTTTGTAACAATTGCCGCAAAATGTAATAACATTATTACATAAAAAAAACAAAAACCTGTACATGGAGGAAGTGGAAAAGACAGCCTTGATATCCTTTTCAGGGGTGCCACCGAGCCATTGGTTCAGATATGTTGACGACACCTGGGTTAAAATTAAAGCCCAGGAAGTCCAACATTTCACTGATCACATCAACTCTGTCTATGAATATATTAAGTTCACACGAGAGGATGGAAAAAATGGCAGGTTGGCGTTCCTGGATTGCGATGTCTCGGTTTCGGATGGAGGACGGTTGGAAACTGGCGTGTATCGTAAGCCCACCCACACAGACCAATATTTGCGTTTTGACTCCCACCACCCACTGGAACACAAGTTAGGAGTGATCAGGACTCTGTACCACAGAGCAGACAGTGTCCCTACAAACCCAGGAGCCAGGCAGAAAGAGAAATCACACACACGACAGGCCCTGGAGCAGTGTGGTTATCCTGACTGGGCTTTCCTGAAAGCAGACAGGAAACACAGACAGGATTCCATGCAACCTTCAGGTGAAAATGAAGACCCCAAACCCAGACCCAAACCAGTGGTTATTCCGTATGTTGCGGGTGTTTCGGAGAAACTGAGACGTTTATTTTCTAAACATGATGTCCCAGTAGCTTTCAAACCCCAAAACACATTACGGCAAAGGCTGGTTTACCCCAAAGATCCGGTGCCCCGGCACAAACAGAGCAACGTTGTACAGTATATGCTGTTAAGTGCCAGGAGGACTGCGACCAGTTATACATCGGGGAAACAAAGAACCCACTGTTCAAAAGAATGTCCCAACACAGACGAGCTACATCTAATGGCCAGAACTCTGCAGTTTTCACTCATTTACAGGCCAGCGGTCACTCTTTCAGAGATGAGGATGTTCTCATTCTTGATAGAGAGGAACGTTGGTTTGAGAGAGGAGTAAAAGAAGCCATTTTTGTGAAGAAAGACCGTCCATCATTAAACAGAGGTGGAGGCCTCCGTTTTCAGTTGTCCCCCTCCTACAATGCTGCCATTGGCAGTATCACTCCACCCCCTGTTAACAATAAGTGTTAATTAGGTGTGAACGATAGCCATGTGATGTGAGTRTCAGTCACATGGAGGCAGKGCTTAAAAGCCTGAATTTWGCCTGAAACTCTCAGACTGAAGAAGTCTCTTGGAGGAGAGACGAAACGTTTCATTAGAGAAGAACCCGTCCAGAAGACCTATACATGTTTTTTCTTTTTGATTTTTTACCTGGATTACTGAGATGCATCAGGACTTTATTACATTTTGCGGCAATTATTACATAATGTGATATTAGTGTGAGTTTATTGCATTTTGAAGCCTGATTTTATTACATTATTACATAGTGTGCTGTGATTACAAAATGAGGTCTTACCGGTACTAAGACGTCATGTTTGCGGGTATTTACTGGTACAGTGCGGTATTTATTTCAACCATTAGAAAACCTTTGTTTTATTTTAGCTGCAGCTAATGGGTGCGTAATGTTTGTGGTGTCTGAGATAACTGCTGCTGATTCACGTGTTGCTGCTGCAGTAAAACCGCTGAACTTGGCGCGCTGCCCTCCTTTTCCGCGTCATCGTTCCAGCTGCAGCCGAGCTTCCTGCTCCCCCTCGGCTCGCCAGCGCTTCTGTCGCTAATAAGGAGCAGTGTCGTGCTAATTGGCGGTTAGCGTTCGCAGCTTTCGCCTGCACGTCTGGGCGTGTTTGGAGCCTCGTCGTCATGCCAGAGGAATGAGCTCGGCTGGGGTTTCGGTTCTTCTCTGTTACAGAGATAGGAGACGGGCTGCAAGGTGACGACAGACGTTTGAGCATTTTAGCTCAACACCTATAAAATCGGCTGATTTAATGACTGGGTTGTAGCTATATTTTGTTTTTTAAGATCATTTGGCTGTGGTAGTCTTTTTAAATCCAGTTTCAGTGGTAGACAGGTTTAGGGCTGAAAATCTTTCAGCCTCAGGGATCACGTTGTGATCGCAGAACTCTAAGGAATGCTAACTTTTGCTGTTTGCTTGGAGGCAGAAACCCCTTAAAAACAAACAGATTATGCGTGGCCGGATGGACAGAATGGCTGCCATTGAGCATGCTGAGTGTGTGTGGACAGACTGGGGATTGTGTTTCTGCAGCAGGGTGCCGTCCTCGGGCCCCACAGCTTTGCTTTATGCAGTGTTTACTTAGCCTGGGCAACAGGCTTGGGGGCGGGGCAAACACGTGTCAATCAAGTGAACAAGCCCCAGGTACATGGTTAGTTTAAGGGTCAAACTTGTGCTGCAGGTCTGATGAAACGCAATATTTAACAAAAGAATAAAGGAAAAGCCTGGAGCACGTGTTGAGGATGACTCTCAGCTACTACCACACCAAGTTTTAGCTCAATATCTGTAAAACCGACATTTTTGTTTGCCAAGTTAGCCGTTTATGTGTTGGCTAGGGTTGATAGCTGTGGCGCCCATCTAGATTTGGATTGACTCCAAAAATGAATGAAAGTTTGTCAAGTGGTTTGTGAGATATTTTGCTAGCAGACAGAGCTGACTCAAGGCAAACCTGATCAGTGCATGTGAAAGAGTTTAGTTTTTTTTATTTTCAGTCTTTACTTTCAGCTGTTTCTCCACCTTTTTGGTAAAACAAAGCATCCATCACAAGCTAACGCAGGGCTAAGCTAATCCCTGAGTAATGACTTGTAAAGAGTGTGTGTACTCGAACATGCCAAGCTGGGGTAAACACTTTAGAAAGAAGTGGCTCTCTCTGGCTTTATCAGGCGATTATCTTTGCCATGTCTGCTTTCCTTACCTACCGCTCTGGCTCCGGCTGCAGCCGCCGAGCCAATAAAGCACTCTCACAGAGAGATCTGATTGAAGCAGAGAAAGTGATGTGGTTAAAAAGAGACGGGGGCGAGGCTGGGAAACTGGCTCCACGCCTGGTTTTCTTTAACTCCGTCGCTCTCGCTCTCTATCCGACCTGTTTGCGTCGACAAAAGTCAAAGCAACAATCCGATGTGACAAATTTCAGCTGCTAATCGGCTTCTTGTTTTTCTGCTTTTTGCTTTTTTTGTGTTTGCTGTGTGGCTGCAGGTTGACTCTGGGTAAACCTTTAGGCGAAGGCTGCTTTGGTCAAGTTGTGATGGCCGAAGCGCTGGGCATCGATAAGGACAAACCTAAGGAGGCTGTGACTGTTGCAGTCAAAATGCTGAAAGGTGAGTGGGACTCTTGTTGGGTTTAAAATCAGATCTCCTTGTTTGGACTTGTGGACAAGCTGAGGATATTCTGTAGGTGATTTATTTGGTAGCGAGGGTTCAGCAAAGGTGCAAGGTGGAGCCTTGGGCCGTCTTCATTATTGCTGCTTGCTGAGTGACGGCTCGAGGGAGGTGGGATGGAAGGGGCTAGGGGTGGTCACATACCTGACCCCAGAGCAGCAGCTGGTTGGAGCGCAGTCAGCACCCAAACAAAGAGGTGCTGCTGTAGTTAATGAAAGCAGGAGGGTGGGGGGGGGGGATACGGAACTGGTTTGGGGATCCTGCAGGGAGCAGTTAGGATCCGGTACTGCAGAAGGATGTGTTTAGGATGAGTCTTGATACGGTGCAAGCTGGATTCTGTAACTTTAGCCCACATCTGTGTTAGCCTTGCTTCACCTGAAAAACCTACAGACTGGATCGCCTTGTAGTCTGGGTTTGGCTGACCTTCTCCGTACATTAAGTAYGTAAAGCTTTATTTATAAAGCGCCTTTCACAGAAATATATTCACAAGGTGCTGTACAATCATTAACAATGTAAAATGGTGGAAAGATAGAATGAAACAATATAAAACATAAGCAATGTAATGAAACATCAAATCAAGATAAGATTAAATTCTAAAATTGTAACTCAGATACATGGTCAATGCAAAGCAAAATATATAATAATAAACAAAACCTAGAGAATGGGTGAGAGAAAAATTACCGTATGTTCAATAATAGAAAAACACAGTTGGCGAGCATTCCCAATGGAGGGCTGGCATTAATGGTGAAATGGTTAGCTAAACGCTTGAGTAAAAAAGTGTGTTTTTAGGTGTATCTTGAAGGAGACAATGTTATCAAGGGATCGCAGATTAAATGGGAGTTCATTCCAGAGCCTGGGGGCCACAGAGGAGAAGGACCGGTCACCACGGGTCTTAAAGCAAGTGAGGAGAACCATAAGGAGATGTTGATCCTGTGAGCGGAGGTCTCATCTGGGGTTGTAAGGGGAAATGAGACTTTTAATGTATTCAGGGGCTTGGCCATGAAGAGCTCTGAAGGTGAGGACCAGGATTTTGAACCAGAAGCCAGTGAAGTTCTGCTAGGATCGGGGAGATGTGGGCGAATTTAGAGGTTCGAGTTAGGAGTCTTGCTGCCGAGTTTTGGACAAGCTGAAGTCGATTTAACTGTTTTTGGTTAAGACAGGTGAACAAGCTGTTACAATAGTCTAAGCGGGTAGAAATAAAGGCATGAATTACCATTTTCAAGTCTGAGGTAGGCAACAGGAGCCGGAGTTTAGAGATATTACGGAGCTGAAAATAGCACGTAGAAACCAGATTCAACAGATCTTCATTGTAAACTCTCCTGTTTTCAGACGACGCCACAGAGAAAGACCTGTCTGACCTGGTGTCAGAGATGGAAATGATGAAGATGATMGGCAAACATAAGAACATCATCAACCTTCTGGGAGCCTGCACTCAGGACGGTGAGATATATGGGGGGTCATTAGGCTAAAATTCCAATTTAACGATGTTAGAAAACAAACTGGTTTTGTTTTGGATGCCCCTGGAGGCCAGAAGCATCCCTAAACTTTTCAGTCTGGTAAAGACAGTAAAAAAGTGTTTGCTTTATGTTGTCTTTTTTTGGGTAATTTTCTTTGCCGATGATGTGATGTTGTATATGAAAGATGAAGGTAGCTCCTTAAAATAAAGTCAAAACTACCATTTGGAAAAGAAAAATGTCCTCTTGTATTTGAAAGGCAACTTGATTGGCCTCAAACACTTAAACTCATCAAAACATTTGATGTTCCAGAAGGTGTTCCAATGTTTTAATGACGTGAATAAATTGGAACAGGTTTAAACTCTTGGTTCTTGTCACTTGCAGGACCCCTATATGTGATAGTTGAGTATGCCTCTAAAGGAAACCTTAGGGAGTACCTCAGAGCTCGCAGGCCACCCGGCATGGAGTACTCCTACGACATCGCCCGCGTCTCCGATGAACAGCTCACGTTCAAAGACCTCGTCTCCTGTACGTACCAGGTGGCGCGGGGCATGGAGTACCTCGCATCGCAGAAGGTGAGAAGCTCAAAATGTTTCATATTAACCGTTTACCGGCCGGGCGCTTGGGCGTTCCCTGCCAGAAGGTCCGACAACAGTTTTCAGGAAGGTTTTTAAAGCTTGTGGGAACATTGTCCCCCGAAAACACCACTCATGCCCCCCGGCCCAATCCCTTCATTGTCTCTCAGTCCATGACAAAAGCCCCTCTGTGCAGAAAAATTGGGGAGTTTTCACAATGGGGCTCCAGCCACGTTGGCCAAACCCAGCCTCGCGGCTCTGCTCGCTGTTGGAATGTGACCTTCACACGCACATGCACCATTAGTATGCACATTTCTGTATACCTTCAGAGGCAGTATATACAGTATGGCCAAGAATTTGAGGAATCTCCACTTATCCAGGCATGTCTGTCTGCTCAGTTCATGTCTCATCACTTTTTGCAAGAGATTTATGGATAGTTTAATGTTTCGTAAAATATTTTTTTAGCATCTTTCCAGAAAGCAAAAATGTTCAATGTTGAATTGTGGTCAAAAAAAGTTGATATTTGGTTAAGGTCAATGATTGATGGTGAATCAACCATCAAACAATCGTCTAATTGTAGCCAAATAACCAATGTTGAAACAATGTTACGGAATCAATGTTTCATAGTCGTATTTCAAGGATTGAAATGTAATCTAATCAATGTTGAATCAACACTAATATAGTATCAGTTATGGTTGAAAACCTAACATTGTTTCAACAAGTCAGTCACTGACCACTTTTTGTACAATTTCAACATGGATTCAGCATCGTGCCTGACCGTATTTCAGTGTTGATTCACACATATTTTGCTGTTTCAGAGTTAATTTATGGAAAAGTTCTGTTCTTTTTTAACC